TCAAGTTTGCGTCTATAGCACCTCTAACTCCATGCCCAAACATAACACTTCGTTACCAAAAGTCCTCGAGTTCATGGTCCCTATATCACCGCGTAAGACTATCTGGGGGGATTTAAAATGCCAAGAATCTTTCGGTACCTCAGAAAAGCCCCCGGGAAGTATAAATATTTCGTCTACTGTTTTCAGACTGATAAGTGGTTTCAACATGTTTGAAGTCCAGCCAGAAAACATGACTCTTCAGACTTAGTTTTCACGAAGGGTCTTATCCCCTGTATAGTTCAAATCCAGCATCGGTTCCCAGGGAGCCACCACAATGTTGTTGTCTCTTGATAAACTTTAGATCTAGTGTCAACTCCAAAAGAAGGCCAGTACAGTACGGAAACTACCGTAACATCAACTGAAGGGAACTTAGTTTTCGCTGAGCTGTTTAGACTGAGAAGACCACTTTACCAAAGCGTTTAATGAAGCAATCATGACGTTCTTCATCGCGATTCACGTAGCACACGTAGCCATTTTGGACCGAAAAAACCACGGTTTGCTATTCTGAAAACACTGTTCACCTCAGTCCTTTTCCGTAGTCTTTTTTGGAGACATAGTACTCGCTTTCACAGGCAACGTTACTTTTGTTCAGTGATCATGATGCCTAATAGTCGTGTTTTCGCGGGTTCTGTACGTGCGCAAGAAACCGCTGCACATGAGAGGCAGGCCTGATTTCATTGAATATAAAGAATCTCTGATAGAGGCTCCCAAATCCAAACTGAAAACTTCAAGGTCGAAGCACAGTCCTATGCATCACCATGATGGCCCAGCAAACGATGACCTTAATCGAGTTGTGGATATCTTCGGTAACCACCTAGCCGCCCCACTGACAATTGTAATTACTGTATTTGTGACAGAATGGTCGACGGTACCATCCTCCGGGATCAAAAGTGTGAGGCCTACAGTATAAAATATTTCTGTAGCTATCAACACCTTAAAAACTGGTCAGCCAGCAGCCGAGATGGATTATCTTTTGTTGTCCTCGAATACAGGTGAAAATACGCCCCATCCGCTTCTCATTTTATTTTCCTTGTCACTCAACACTGAATGCTACTCGTCCACCTAGAAAACTGCTTACGTTCTTCCAGGTCATAAATCCGGACAAGTGGCACATTTAGACAACTATCTTCTGATTAATCTCACGTCGGTGGACTTTAGAGTGGTGGAGAAAATTGTAGAGAGTAGTGAAGTGAATTGCCTGTTCGATAAAAACCTATTATTAACGTCGCAGAAAGGGTTCCCGATGGTCACATCCCGTGTCACCAGCATGCCAGATAACCTTCGACGTATATCTTTCTACCAAGGGTATTCTGTGGCTGTGATGTCTTTCGACTTTGAGAAGGCATTTGACAAAGTGACCAGTAGAGGACTTGTAAGAATCTCAGGCCATTCGGAGTAGCGAGCCCCTTATGTGCCCGGTTCTTCATTAACGTTCCTACGTAGCTGAGTTAAAGGACTGCTTTTCAGACCCTCAACCAATTGCAAGCGGTGTGATGCTACGCCTACCTCCGTTTCGTCCGCCATCCGTAGACAGCAAAAACTTATTGAATATATACATATCTCCGGATTCATCTGCTCTCAACATCCGATATGCAACATATTCTCGCGGATCTCATGACTCACTACTGCTTTTCAAACTGAGTGATTACGCCCTCATTAATCTTACCACTGCTGTTTAACGATATCGCTCCTATTCAATATTTGTGACGAGCAATATCTAAACAGTTGTTTACTCCAGAACCCTTCGTATGGTACGATGATATGTTTCTTTCCAAACTTTTACGGCTTCAATGGGGAAATAACATATAGACATTGCCTTAAAAAATGGCAAGTGTTCCCATAATCCGTCGTTAGAAATGTATTATTGTTACTGTAACTGGGAAGCGTACTTGATTCATTTCCCTTTCTCATGTATATTAATGACGTACGGAATGTGGTCGGGCGTAAGAAACTATATGTTTATTCAGGGGACCTTAAAATTTTCTGCAGCCTCCAGCATTATGAATGAAAAATATTTCGTAAAATCCCGATGAAGTAGAAAATAAATTATTGATGTTTCGCGACTTCGTGGAAATCGCCTCTTCAGAGAGTAGAGCTTATACAAGTCGACAGTTTAGACAATAAAATGTGATGAATCGGATCACACTGTCTTTACATGATGATAATATGAATGTAAGTGTCGTCGTTATGCTGGTCGGGAAGCGCTCACAATTTGTCTCTGTTTGTCAGTTAATTAGTCTGGAGGTCAGGGTGATATGGATATGTGCACATGAGGCTAGGTGTGAAAGTGTAAGAAAAATAATATGGATGACAAATTCGGCTTGTCTGCGTGTATATACTTTTGATCAGATCATCGTATGTGGCTTGTTGTTTTTGGAAATACTGCCCAGGTTAGTCGGAAAGTTAGGCCCTTCTCTTTGTTGAGTCCTTTAGGACTCAACATAGTGTGAAATGCCTCCGCTAATCTTCTTTCTTTGTAGTTTGAAAATCCCTTTTGAATAATTTTGATATTTTCAATATCGATTTTATGACTCATAGATGGCGTGAAATGCGATCGCCTATGCGATGTACAGGTTCTCTAGTTCTACAGGATTATTTGGTGGTCGTTTTGTGTAGCTTGCGTGTTCTTTAGCCCTAGTGAGGATCTCACGGGATGATTCTCCAATGTAATAGGCATCGCAGTCGACGCAGCCTAACTTGTAGACACAATCTTGTATGGAGGTTAAAGGAACTTTATCTTCTACGTAAACTAGGGCATTTCTGAAAGTGTTGGTTGTCTTGTAAAAGGTCCTAACTCCGTGCTTTCTTAAGACTCTTTGTCGCTGTTCGGTTTCACCTTGTCGGAATGATAGAACCACTGTACCAGCGGAAGAATCATCATTCGAATTTTCTCTTGGGTCCCACGGTTTATGTTACTGGATCTTTCGAATGACATTATTGGGGTAGTTATTGGAATATAACACACCCGATACACCACTTACTTCCGTTTGCCTGTCATCTTCATTCATGATGGGCTTTGTTGCCCTCCTGGATAAGCTGCGCTCAAATGAAAGTTTAGCACTGAGCAGATGTGCTGAGTTGAAGTCAAGATGTAGGTTTGAATGTGCCCGTTCACGACAAATCGAGGGAGATGCGGTTTCAGTGACCGTAGGACCTTCCCAGATGGTCAATTTTTGGGCGTGATTGAGGATGCCCAAACGGATGTATATGGCCTAGTATGAGCCATTGTTTTATCGACCAAAAGCGGAATGGTTGCAAAAGACATATAGAGATTTTGTTTCCCAGGTAAAGAGGCAAGAAACTTGCGGTTTTGACAGCATAAACGATATTATCATGTAGAAGATTCCTCATTTGAGGTACGGCTGCAGGTTAACGGCTTTCACTGCTCTGATTCCTCAGTGGAATTTGCCCAGTGGCATGGTCCACGAGATTAGAAACTCTAGTAAAAGAGGACAGATAACTTACTTTTGCATCGTGGTAATTTTTGTTTCGGCGTTCAGTGCTTCTAGTTATGTTGATGTCGTTGGCGCTTACAGGTCACTTCAGTGGTGCCGGTGTCAAACTAACGTCATACGTCGGACACGACGAAGCAGCTACAGAGCCTTTTGGTGTAAGTCGATTTGTTGTATGAATTCCGCTGGACCTGTTTTCTGCGCGTGTCTAGCATCTTATCCTCCAACGTCACTTCCTTAATAACCGGTAGCTCAGTGAAAGATTTACGACATATCTTGCTGGCTTACGAACCAAGAAGTGTTCGGCGGAGAAGGTTTAAATCAGAAGTGAAGGTGGAAGTTAATGTTGTAGATGAGAATGACTAGCCGGAAGTATAGAAGGCTACATACCTTCTACATACAATGGTTGCTTCGTGAAGTGAAGTTGTGTGGTGTAAGGTGGGTAAGATGATCGAAGTCAGTAAGCAATGGGTGAAGAGCTCCCGCATCAGCTAGGCAGAAAGTTCCCATCATTCTCATGGTTTGTATAGGCTCCAATGTTCGGTACTAACTTTGAATGCTGCAAGCGTTTGCTATCAGGTTATTCTCAGCCAGAAAGCCTTGTACTTAAGATTTGACACTCTGCGGAGTAGTGGCTAGATACATGAACGGTACCAACCTCAAGGTTCCAAGTGTTTTATTCCCTGGACCCGAGGAGATACATAACCTGGGGTGGAGATCACTGCTTGCATCAAGAATCCAAGCATTGTGTCATGAGAAGAGCATCCCGTGGAACAGCCTTATGAAGGATATTACTACTGAAAAACTTCTGTAATTATAAACCGGTCAGGCGACTTAGCTCATTTGGGGGCAGTGCTTGTCAGCTGCGTACCTAAACAAATACAGCTCATGTAACTGAGCTAGCTGAGATCACTTGAATCTGGCTAGCCCACTTGAGCGGATTGGTATTCCTAACGTTGGATGATCGATTTGCAATTGATTTCCATACCACTCAGTCCATGTTAACATTTTTCACAGCCGAGTTGTTTTTCAGCTGCGTAACTGAGATGCCAGCAAGCTATATTTCTAATATTCTATCCAAGGACAATTAAGCAAGCATTAAATCATAAAGAAAATTTTGAATACATCAATGAATACAAAACGAAATGGTTGCTACAAGTCTACTACCTTGACTTGTTTCCCGATCTGCTCGTGACAGATCCATCCATGAACACCATCAAAAGAAATACCAGCCCCAGAGAGACATATGCAACAAGAAATAACGAGAGTTTATTGGTATACTATCCTTCACACAGACGACTGAAGACTATAGCATCTACAGCATAAATATCCCGTAAAGAAAATTAAGTCAATTTATATTTATCCCGGAATGTTAAAAATTATACTTATGGAGTTATATTCAGCAGGAAGCATGCTAGTTGAATATAGAAGGTTTCATATGGCCACAATATTTGAGATTTGTTTGGTTACATCACTTTCCTAAAAGTTCTACAAACAGTAGCAGGTCAAATGGGAGCTATGATCCTATCCTTATCCTTCGTTATTTGGATTTCACTAGCGGATAGCACACGATATTCCAGAGGTAATCTTCGTGATGATGAATAAAAAATGTTTTGATTGTCTCTTCACACTGCAACGTCGTATGAAGTACCAGTTAAGTGCTATATTGGCTGATATTGCTCATATTTATATTGTGTAATATATTGCAAAACTTCGGAAGTTTGACTGAAAGTCATAGCAAATAACGTAATCAAGACCAACACATCTTGATTAGTTGGCAACATGTGACGCGTGCGGTTCCATCCTTGCCATGGCGTAGTTTCTGCGTCCAATTATTTTTGGGAAGGCCATGAATATGTTGAGGGAGTACGCATAAATCGTCTCTCTGGAAGTTCTGAACAAACACCACATTCAGGGAAGCAAACAAACTAGGGGAAGTTAGCACTAATTGTTTCATTTCTCTAAAATTCCCACATGGGGGGCCGATCTGCGCAGAGATCAATCTTCCCCAGAATTTCCTAACTGTGCATCGACTGGTTTGTGATAACCGCTAAGATGGTATTTTGGGCAATTACAGTGTGTAAATGTGTGCCTTAAGAGTACTGAGTAGGTTTTGATAGAAAAGTAAAAGAGAAGCATTTGGGGTATGTGGTATCTGCAATAAAAAAACATTATTACTTCTTTTGGATGTATCGGAAGTTCCCAGGTGCGCATGTATCTTCTGTATCTCCCACAAAGTCTACGCTTATTAACAAAATCGACAATAAAATGCAGCACAAAACTGATGTGTTTAGTTTCAAGACATTGTTTAGCTCTAAATATCTAACCGTAGAATAACGTATGTCAGCCATCTATCCACACTGAAAGGTTGCAAAGCGCCTAGCAGTGCTTTTTCTAAGGCAGTCTTCCCTTTGGAAAAAAGCATATTTTTAGTAGGGAGAAGGCGTTGGTAAATTCCCTAAAAATTACATACACTTTATATGCACAGGGGGTTGAACCATCTAAAAACCTTTTGGCTCCATTTTGACACAAGCCTGAATCGATGCTGTGCAGAGTGATACCCAACCAGCACCTACTTCAGGTGCACTTTGTGACTTTCGGATTTTAGCCTGAACTAACTTCGTGCGCACATACAAAATCCCGGGTCTGTCCCTAGATTTTCTAGTTGTTTCCTTTGGCCGTTTCCATTTTTTTGACTTCATATATATATGATCTGAGAAACTGGCTATGTCAGATTGTGGCTCGTTGGAGGTTCTGCAAATCCGTGAACTGTACATCTGTTTGCGAAATTAATTCATAGAAGATAAAGATGGCTTTAAAAGCAAGTGGTATAAACAAACTGAAGTCAAATGACACATATTTCCTGTAATCATGATAAGATTGTTCCACAGGATTATTTTCTTAGGTGTTCATTTAAGGCATACTACTGGCAAATAAATGTGGCAAAATCTCTGGAGAAATCAGGGTACGTTTATGACCAACATACATTAATTTTCGCAGGAGAGTAGCTTTGCTGTTGGTAGGCTGCACTGACTTCGAGCACACTTCGTGAGTTTTGGGTTAAAGTCAGAAAAAGTTGTTTAGGGTACATATGAAGATGCACAACATCTCCCCGAAATAACATTTTCCTCAAAAGTCAATAGTGTGAGTGTATCCGGAGTTTTTCCCCTTGGGAATTTTATTTATCAGAATCCCATATATCATAAGAAATGGCTTTACAAATTTATGATCGTGGAAATAACATTTGTACATCGAAATGAAGTTTCATTTCGGTGTGCTTTACTCTATCTGTGACGCTCTCCGGAGAACTGGACAAATGCGCTGCTTATAATGGAGGATAAATACTGGCACTTTCCCCTCATCTTTCGCTGCTTCATTAACCTAAGGGAATGACACTAGAAAACACCACCCTACTACTGTTTTCTTTTCTACCGGGTTTCCGGTCTTTCACAACTGCTGTGAAACCGGCTCTAAGTGAGTGGCTTTTACGCCTTCACTTCTTTGTCGTCACTGCCATGCATGTGAATGTCGTAAAAGATACCTGGGCAGATGATAACATTACGTAAGATTTTTCTTGGATAGTCGCTTATCATGCGTTGACGATCATCATTACAGCATGGTGCAGTTAGATCCCACCATACAACAAATGAAAACTTCACTATCTGAATCCATCAGAGTAGACAACTGCGTTGCGGCGTAATGGTAATCCGGGGTCAGCGATCTCGTTCAATATGCTGGATTCGGATGTCACTATCAATTGGCCATTTACCAGAGACCTTCAGCTTCTCTACCAAATCCATAGTAGTGACATACTTGTACAGGTTGCTTGTCTCGCTTGGGCGTATGAACATTTTTCCCAAGCAGTCCAATCGTTCTTGTACTTTGGAAGGCTGATTCTCTATGTAGTCGGTAGCATCTGCAGGTATGTTTCAGGTTTCTGTTTGCTCTTACATAATTCCAGTACGGCTACTAATCATAATGAAAGCAAAGGTAAACTTACAGGAGGCAGGCAAACGCGGGATAGCCGAAGATGATTTAGTAGACGAAGATGGGCTGAAGTATTCAATAAGCTAACCCTAATGAGAGTACCTGAAAGAGATAGAGTCAGTGATGGGCTTCTGATAGACTGGCTGCTGAATTCGAAACACCCATGTTCCAGAAGTTTAGGTGGATACTGTAAAGGTGCCCCATAATCAGACACTGCTTTCGCAAACAATTGCACTACAAACCTCATTTAAAATATATACATACCGATCCCGTCGTATTTCACTCACATACTCCATATCCAAGGCTGAAGATTTTATTGGACTGCAGTGAAAGCTCCCAACACCCACCTATGCATTCCGAGTGCGCTTGATATTGTCTGCAATTGTTGATTTATTCAGAATGACATCGTATCTTGCCCGACCGATAGCTGCTACCTTGACGTGGTGGTTGTGCTTGCATATCACAATGACCCAACGAGCTATGCTGGTGGGACACTTGTTCCCTCGAGGTCCTACCATACCAGAAAGGTCTGTTGGGTAGTGGTTAGACGAAAAGCAGTTACCGTTGTGCATAAATTACTACACTATGATGGGGGTCTGAGGGCGAAGTCGTACTGCTGCTAGCTGGATGGGTTTGACAGCAGTAAGGTGTTTCCCTTGGATGACCAGCAGTCCAAGCTGATGCTGCCTTCTCAGTGGAAGGGGGGGTTAGAAAAGGTCGGCCCCAAAAATAACACACTCCACCACGCCCCACGGTCTGCCGGGCCGGCGGTGTTGGTTCACTTGTCGTTTCCTTTCGACCATCCGGCCCCAAAAATACAAAAGTTCAAAATAATCATACTCAAAAGGCTGGGTGTGACAGGCCTCAAGCAGATGTCCGATGGGCTCTGCGGTCACACAAATCTCTTTCAGGTACCTTAAGAAGAAATAGCCTTCCACGGTGTGGGCAGCCGGGAAGTGTCAACCGCCCTCACAACTCTGTCAGCACCCAAGTTTCTTCTGACTGCTATCCTCCTCCTCCATCATTACCTTCTAATCTTCCTTCACGTCTCTTAATTAATGATGCTGCATCATCTTCAATTTCTCCTACCTCTGCAGCCTTCGACAACGATCTGAGTCCACAGAACAGCATCCCTGGTCTCCTTAAACCACGCTCCAAATTACATATTGGAGCCTTCAATGTCCGCACCCTCCGTCAAATTGGCCAACAGGCTTCGTTGGCAAAGACTCTAGCAACTCGGGCATGGATGTGTGCTGTTTGTGAGACACGCATACAGGACCCAAGTGTGGTTATTCACCTGACCTCTCCTGACCAATCTGGTGAATCTGCAAAATTCACCCTTCGAGTTTCTGGAGATTCGATAGCTAGCTCTCGTGGTCTTGCAGGTGTAGGTATAGCATTAAGCACCAGGGCAGAAAACTCACTACTAGACTGGATCCCAGTTGATAGTCGCCTCTGCGCTATGAGGCTGAACGGCACAGTGAGAACTAAAAGGAATAGTGAGACTCGCCGTTGTCTCTTTGTAATCTCTGCTTACGCACCCACTGACTGCAGCTCGGATGAAGTGAAGGACGAGTTCTACCATAAACTGTCTAACCTCCTCTCGAAAGCCAAACGTTCGGACGTAGTGGTTGTTGCAGGTGACCTCAACGCACAGGTGGGTAGACTGAGTGAGGCAGAAAGGCACTTAGGTGGCACTTTCGGAATCCCAGCTGAACGTACAGATAACGGTGATCGCCTATTACAACTATGCTCAGATAACCGCCTATTTTTAGCCAGCACAAATTTCAGACATAAAGAAAGGCACTGTCTGACCTGGCGTCCACCGAGCTCGACTCAGCGATGGACACAGATAGACCACATTGCTATTAGTCATCGCTGGAGAGGATCGGTGGAAGACTGCCGCTCCTTCTGGAGTACGTGTTTGGACAGCGATCATGCGTTGGTCCGAGCACGTATATGCCTGCGTCTCAATGGACGTAGAAAAAATTTGGCAACAAAACCACTACGAGTTCTGCTGGACAACGAAAACACCAAAGCCGTGTTCAGTGAGAAGTTGGCTAGGCAGTTATCGGAACAAAAGACTGTCACTCATCCAGAAGAAGCTTGGTGCCATCTTCAGTCTACTGTAAAAGCAGCACTGAAGACTGTAGCCGACTCCAAAATAGTGGATATCAGCAGCTTCTTCCGAACTAATGGACGCACGTGAACGAATCTGTGCAGGCTCTGAGTACAATGAAGAGCGACCGCAACTTACAAGTAGATTAAGAACAAGTCTATGCAAAGATCGTGAACAGTGGTGGGCAGTGAGGGCTTAAGAGATGGAAAAGGCAGCGGCGATCGGTAATAGTAGACAGTTATTTAGACTTATTAAGCAGACTGGGGGAAAAGATCAACTGTGGTTATTGAGGCTACAGCGGCAAAGGACACATCTGCGATTCACTCGCAGGGCAGACGACTGGAACGATGGGCAAAACACTTCAAGGAACAGTTTAACTGGCCTTCAGCCATCACTGCGTTGCCCGCTATCCAGTATGATCCTGAATGGGACATAGAGATAGGTTCCCTAACACTAGAAGAAGTTGAGAAAGCAGT